GTCGTGCATGCCGTAGTCGTTAGACCATTGACCTCGCATCCCTACAAAGCCGGGACGGAGCACGCCGGGTTCTCACCGGACCAGGCTCTCACATCACCGAGCGCGACGCACCCGTGAGGTATTCGGCGAGTCGCATGAACGGTGCGCTGCATCCTGCTATGGGGGTTCGGCATNGCGCCGTGAGGTATTCGGCGAGTCGCATGAAGGGTGCGCTGCATCCTGCTAAGTAAGGGTTTTCCGCATCATCTTGTGCTTACTTCCTTGCGTACGGATGACAGCTGCGTATGAATTAGTTTACTTTCTGGTGCTTTCACTTCCAGAGACAGTTGTAAGCACTGTGTAACTGCCTCGAGGGTGCTTGACCATTGTAACACAACGTGGTGCGATCATCCCCCTTGCGCGGAGTGAGGGTTCTCGACGCCGCACAACATGATCTACTCGACCACCACTAGACTATGGTTACCGCCAAAAAAAGAACCCAATCCCGATGGGAAACACCGAGGCAGGGGCTTGTTTTACAACGCCGTTGGCAAGCGCCGAAAACCCAATCCCGACGGCAAACACCCGGGGGGGGGAGAAAAAACGAAAGGGAATACAAGGTTAAGGTTTGCCCGGCGCATCCTCAGGTTTGGCTTCGCCAGGGCGGTACTTGAGGTAGGGGGGACGAGCTAGGGATCTCGTTGAGAAGGGTGGCAGCAGTACTCACTCCCTTGTGACGTGCAACACAAACATACGAGGAAAAGTTGTAAGTGTCCTTGTCTGCTTCGGCTACCGTATTAATTAGTGGTGCCCAGTTGCAAATGCCTGCACATGTGCACCCAGTCTACATACCGATGCCAAGTGAGCTCCATGCGGTTGAAATTGTGGGAAAGGAGCTGAAAGATCTACTTCCTGCGGCCGCAGCGCGTGCCGCCTGATCGATGTACATTACGCACCTTCCTATCAGAGCCCCCAGTTTCTTCTGAGACTGAGGTTCGAAGTTCCTAGCGTTGTGCTACAAATAGACAGTAACGGTTTTGCTGTAGGGGTTCTTTTCTGGGCTCACAAATGATGCTCAAGGTCTCTGTATTTCCAGGGTTTCGAGGCGTATGTTCTAACTTTCAAGGTCGAGTGTAGTGCATGTTGTGGGAGCAGTGCGGGTGTAAGCTTTCGTCGCAAATCATTCATTCGTCGTGTCCGCGCTCAGTTTCTCTTGTCATCCCACTCGATAAAGTGCCCTTGGTGACTGGGCCCACCGCATGACACTGAAAGGTGCCAACGACACATCCATGTGCACAGCTATAGCGAATCTCACACAGTCCACAAAATGACAACGTTTCCTCCCACGACAGGCCGATATGACCTCACGCTTGTCGGACGATAGAGAGAGACACAACTCTCAAGTCTAGTCCTGTTCGTTCGGCCTCCTCCATACCAAGGCACCGCGCAGAGGCTTCACCGACATGTTTTTTACTTCACTTAACGCTCATTCATTGTTATGTTTGTACACCACACCACGGCCGAGTAAAATCCCGAAAGGGAATAAACCTCTCTCAGTGCATCAAAATCAATCAACGGCCTGTACCATTACCAAAGGGATTTTGTATTTTGGACATTTAAGCCATCAACATCATTATTTACACAAACTGCAGCTCGCGAATGGTAAAGTAGCGTTGCTGCATGCAGACGACAGCCCCCAAATAGGTACAACATAGAATTGCATCTTTTCCACCCACAGGCTCGCACCAGAGACAGACAACAAATAACGTTCTGACTAAGAAACAACAAGAGTCGATGGTAATGGCTGTGCATAGGAGATAGAAATGTCTTCTAAGAGGTGCATCCACTATTTGCAGACGAACCTGGTTTGAAAACGATTGTTACGGCACAAACACCTGGCCTTTCCCGGAATCCGACCTGTGCTCCACTCCGGCTAGAATCCCTCGCATACATATTTATTTATTTATTTTTGCCTTCCGACAATTAATTGCAGATGTACCTCAGAAAACTTTCACTTAATGTCTCATACTCTACATGAATATTAAACCAATACGAAGTACAACAACATATGTAGGACTTATTTCTACTGTCATTTACATCGTAAAAGTATCTCCTCTTCAACTTACCAATGACAATCCTGATGGTATCAACAACATATTCGCCTGATTGAGAGCGAAGTATCTGATTGAGAGCGAGAGCCAAAAAAATTGAAATTTCGGGTCCAGACGCCTCTTGCCATTTCTTGGCAAGTAGGGGACGGGCTATTCCAAGAAGCGGTGCAAATTGAAGGTCTCATCAGCAGCTTCGCGAGCATATGCGTGTCATCGTCATCGGATGCTGCAGCGAGGAGCTAGACAAGTTGCTAGATTTGCCCAGATTGGCTATTTCTGCTCAAACTGTTTCAGGGCGGTA